GTCTCGATTGGATGAAAACTTCACCAAGTTAATTGAGTTTCCATCACCCATGTCGAACTTCAACATCCCCCGCTAAAGAACCGCGGCGCTGTCGCTGTGCGCACTTCTGTGCGCTCCACCGCCACAGAACGCTGCAGAGCTATGGCCGAACCACCTGCATCGCGACATGTTGGCCCCTTAGCCGCCCTGGGACCGTCAGTGGGAGGAGCGCGGAGCGGCCCCAAGCGGGCAGACGGAGGCGACCCTTAGCACCCGAAGCCGAACTCGCGCGAGCGGACCCAGGCGGCGACGGCCGGCGAGCAGGCGACGTCGTTCCCCGCGACGTCGACGAACGTCGCGTTCGCGATCGCCGCGGCCGCGTCGGGCAGCGGCGCCGCCAGCGCGTTGTCCGCGAGGTCGAGCTGCGTGAGGGACGGCGGGAGCCCCCCGACGCCCGTGAGCGAGGCGTTCCAGGCGTAGACGTGCTTCAGCCTCGGGAGCGCCGCGGCGGACTTCGGGAGCGGCCCGCCGAGGCGCGGGTTGAAGCCCAGCTGGAGCACCTCGAGGCCCGCGAGGCCCGCGAGGGACGCCTCGTCCAGCGCGCCGACGAGGTTGTTCGACGCGAGCCGCAGCTGCTGCACGCGGCCGCCCTCGCAGGCGACCTGGTCCCACCAGCACACCGGGATCGACTCGTTGAGCCAGCACGCGTTGCGCGTCCAGCCGCCGCCGCCCGTCGCCAGGTAGAGCGCCCGGAGGGCCGCCACGTCGTCGGGGTGCGACGCGGGCGCCGTGCCGTTCCAGGACGAGCGGTTCGCGTGGCCGACGCAGCCCGGCGCGTTCGCGAGGTCCGGGACGAGCGCCTCGCGCGGCGGCGGCGCCGCCGGCGCCGCGGCGCCGCCGTCGACGGCGCGCGCCGCGAGCGCGCGCACCTCGGCGCCGCGCGCCGTCTGCTCGAGCCACGCGTCGGGCACCTCGCCGCCGGCCGCGGCGAGGATCGACGCGACGAAGGAGCCGCGGTTCGCGTTCTCGCCGCCGATGACGATGGTCTCGCGGACCGCCGCGACGAGCGACGACATGTTGTGGAGGAGCATGTGCGGCGCCGTAAAAATGTGGAACCTGGGCAGGAAAAGAGTGATTCAAGTTCGCTTCAACATGAGTGTTCCGCGCGCGCGCGTTCCGGAAAAAGCATTCGTGCTTCGAGACCGTTCCGAGAGATGATCGCTCGTCCAAGAATCAGCCGAAACGAGTGGAAACCGGCCGAGATAGGAGCCTTTGAAGTTGGGAATTTCGCTCTCTTTTCCTGCCCTGCGTGGAACGGGAAGTCGCACGCCTGCCCGAGCTCGAGCGTCACGTCGAAGGGCGGCCGCGCGCGCCACGCGTCCATCTTCGCCAGCCCGCGGGCGAAAAAAGCGTCGTTGCGGTTCCCCGTGCCGCGGGCCAGCGCCTCCCGCACGTCGCGCACCGCGTCGTCCACGGTTTTTCCCAGGATCACGGCCTCGAGGATCCGCGCGAAGGCGAGGCCGAACGCGACGGCGTCGTCGTTGTCCTGCACGACGCGGATCGCCGCCTCGCAGCTCTCGAGGAAGTCGTCGAAGCCCGCGCGCGCCGCGGCGACGGGCAGCACGTGCGCGACGGCGTTCGTCTCCGCGTCTTCGCCGCCGACGCGGGGGTAGCGCCGGCCCGCGGCGTAGTTGGCGAGGAACTCGCGCGTCGCCGTGTCGACGTAGGACTCGAAGGGCCGCGCCGCCCGCGCGGCGGGGCCGTAGTACGCCGCGTAGGCGTCGGCCGTCGCGGCCGCGTCGAAGGTGCCGCCGGAGTCCGCGAGCGCGCGGAGGTAGACGAGCATCTGCTCCCCGAAGGGCGTCTGCTCGCCCGGCGGGTAGGCGTAGTAGGGCGCGTGCGACTCGGGCAGGAATTCGGGGGTCTCCGCGCGGCGCTCCCGCGCGAGGATCGCCGCGAGGTCGTCCGTGTCGTAGATCCAGTGCAGGGGCATGGCCGCGGCGTCGGCGACGAAGGCGGCGACGATGGCGTCCACGCGGCGCGCGCGCGTGGCGTCCGACCGGGCGGCGTCCTCCCGGGCAGCGGCGACGTCCAGAGCGCCAGCGAGGCCGGCGCTCGCGACGAGGAGGAGGCGACAGGGCAGCCCCATCGCTGCTTCGCCGGGACGTCTTCGGAGAGTTTCTTGACGTCAACGGGAAGGCCACCTCCAGCTCCATCTCCGCCGGGCGATAGTAGCCAACTCTGGGAGAGCCTCGCGTTCGTGCTATCCGCCGCAGCCGGAACGATGTGGTCGCGCTGGACGGGCCTCGCGCTCGTGCTACGGACGGCAGCAGCCGAAGCGTTCGTAGCCTCTCCTGCACCCGAGTGCGCCTGGTGCGAGGCCGGCAACGACGCGTGCAACCACAGCTACGCGGCCTACGAGCTGGACCTCGTCGAGACGTCCATCAGCGGCGCCGTCGGCGGCCGCAGATTCCCGCTCTGGCGCCCGGCGTACCAGCCGCCCTTTGGCGCGCCGTCGCCGGCGACGCTCGCCGTCGTCGTCCACCACGGCGCGCTGCGCAACGGCGACGCCTACTGCGCGCATGTCGCCAACGCGGTCCTGGCCACGGACCGCGACCCCGCGTCGGTCCTCGTCGTGTGCCCGCAGATCTACGAGGCCGGCGACGCGGGCCTCGACGAGGCGACGATGCTCTGGTGGGGCGCGAGCGCCGACGACGGCGTCGAGCCCGACCGCGGCGAGCGCGACTGGCATTGGGGCGGCAACTCGACGGCCGAGCTCGGCGCGTCGCTCTCGTCGTTCTCCGTCCTCGACGAGATCATCGAGGCGCTCGAGGCGGCCCACCCGGCCCTCGAAAGGGTCGTCGTCGCGGGCCACTCCGCGGGCGGGCAGATCGCGATGCGCTACGCGCTCTTCTCGCGGCTCGAGACGCGGCTCGCGGTCGAGTACTTCGTGGCGAACCCGTCGTCCGTGACCTACCTGAACGCGTCGCGCCCGGCGCTGCCGCCGCAGCGCTGCTGCGACAACGCGACGATCGCCTCGACCTCCTACGCGTTCGCCGCGCCCGGCGGCCGCTGCGCCGACTACGACGCCTACGGCTACGGCCTCGCCGGCCCGCTGCCGGACTACGCCGCGGCGACGGGCGCCGCGTCTGCGATCGACGCCTACGGCCGCCGGACGGTCGTCTACGTCTCGGGCGCCGCCGACGTCTGCGACGCGCGCTACGCGGCGCGCGCGCGGTGCGCCGCCTGCGTCGTCGACGACGGCGGGCTCGACACGTCCTGCGAGGCCTACGCCCAGGGCTGGTGCCGCATGGAGCGGCTCCACGCGTTCGCGCAGTTCGTCACCGCGTTCTACGGCGGCGACGTCCACGCGCTCGTGTCCGTCCCGGACGTCGGCCACAGCGGCTGCGGTATCTTCCAGTCGCGCGAGTTCGCGCGCGCGGCGCGGCTCCTAGGGTGACTTTTTGGCGCGTGTCTCGGGTGCCGGGACCTAGCATTCGCCGCGCGCCGAAGTTCTGGTAGGTAACTGACAGGCTGCGGCGTCATGCTAAGACTCGTGGGCCGCAGGAGCGAGCGAAGGTGGTGGGCGAGGCCTCTCTGCCAGACTCTGGAGGCCCGGGCGTAAGATTGAGCGATTTTGCGTTTGCGACTCGGAGCAGGCGAGAGAGTCGAGTCGAGAGGAGCGGCGATAGGACGCGCCCCGAGTCATGTCGTGGCGGGAGAAGAAGTTGGAGTATGAGAATCGCATGGCCCGAGCGAGGGGCAAAAAACTCGACACTCTCAAGACCTGCACGATCTGCGGCGCCGACAAGGCCAAGGCGTGCTTGGGTTGCGGCACGACGGCCTACTGTTCGACGGACTGCCAACGCATCGACTGGCGCGACCGGGGCCACCGGAAGGTCTGCAAGAAGATCCAGACCGCGGAGGCGGCGCGGGCCGAGGCGCCGACGCCCCCGCCGTCGCCGCCGCGGGACGTGTTCTACGGCCCCGCGCCTCGGTCGCACGCCGACGAGGTCCGCGCGCGCATCGCGGCGGAGCACGAGGCGGCCCGTGCCCTGCGAGAGGCGAACCCGGAGCCTGAGCCGCTCTCGGCGCGGTTTGGGTCGCGGTGCCCGATCTGTCTCGAGGAGTGGGACGTGAATGCGAAGAACATGTTTCTCGCCTGTTGCTGCCGTAGGGTCTGCAAGTCGTGCAGTGACAAGATCGAAATTGCGTGTCCCCTCTGTCGTATACCGTGCGCAAATTCCAATGCGGAGTCGCTCGTGCGGCTTCGCCGCCATGTGGAGAACGAGGTGCCGGAAGCTATTACGAATTTGGGAAATGCGTACCGCTATGGTCTTTACGGCCTCGTGAAATCCGATAAGAAAGCCGCGAAGATTTGGAAGCGCGCCGTGGAGCTCGGAGATGTGGACGCGATGAGACAACTTGGGGTATTGCACGATCTCGGAAGTGGCGTCAAGCTGGACAAGAAGAAGGCGGAGCGGCTGTATCGCGCGGCCGCAGACCGGGGCGACGCGACCTCGCAATTCAATTTAGGTCTTTTACTTCAGTCTAAGCCGAACATTGAAGAGGCGTTCCGGTACTACGCGCTCGCGGCGGATCAAGGCGATACCGATGCAGAAAATAGCCTTGGCTGCTGTTACAGGGACGGAGAAGGCACGGAAGTCGACCTCGGCAAAGCCAGATACTGGTTCGAGCGCGCCGCTGCCAAGGGCGACGAGCTAGCTATAGAGAATCTCGCGCGCCTCGACGCGCGAGTATAGCCTAAGTCTTTACGCCGCGTCGTCGCCCGAGCCCGAGATGCTGCGCTTGCGCGCGGGCGAGTCGCGCTCGCCTTGGCGTCGTCGTCGCGGCGTTCCTCTCGCGTCGCTGGCGTCCGGAGCCGCGCGCGCCGCGCCTCGCCGCGCGCTCTTCGTCGCCGGGCTCGCCCTCGCCGTGCGCAGGGCCTCGCCTAGGTCACGATGTAAACGTACTCGTAGTACGACGCGCGCCCCGGGACCCGCGTCTCGATCGGCTCACTTATCATACGCGCTGGGCGACGTCGAAGGCGCGCTCGCCGAGCGCGTTCGCGACGCCGAACGCGAGGATGAGCGCGGCCGCGGCGATGATGGGGTTGTCGCCGCTGTTGAACTTGCTCTTCGGCAGGAAGGGCAGCGCCGGGTCCTTGCGCCGCTGCGGGTCGAGCCAGTCGCTCAGCAGCCAGCGCTCGAGCCGCTTGTCGCCCGCCGTGAGCCTCCCGTCCGCGGCCTCGCCCGCCGTCTCGAGCTCGTCGAGGAGCTCGGCGATGTCGCCGCCTTTTTTGCTCCGGCTCACCTCGAGCCGCTTCTGCGGGACCGTCACCGTCCACCAGTAGTACGCCGCGCCGCCGCTCGCGCCGATGACGCCGAGCTGCTGCGCGACGACCGCCGGGTCGACGGGCGTGGGCACGTAGTCGCTCAGCGCGAGCGACGTCG